GTATGACAGAAACAAGACAAGTTAAAAGTGCATTTTAGATATCTTTAAAGCTAAGGCAAAGGTTATGTGTTTTTCTCACCCCTCCCCCTACACTAACATGAAATGCTTCTATTTGATTGAAATAAATCAAAGAAATTTTATTGGAAAATTTTTCTTTTTGGTCCCCTCTAGAATTCTTTTGCCACGACGCCCCTGTATGAATAGAGGTGTCTGATAATACATAAAGGTACACAGATTTATCATATCCAGATCTAGATTAAAACCAAGATGGATTCTATCTTTTTTGAACAATCAGAAACCTCTTACGTCTTACCAAATGTTATCGCGTGTATTTTTCCTCGTTTTCTTGGGATACCTATTTATGAAGGTTGTGAGCGATGTTTTTGGATTGAGAAGGGCACCACTGAAATCTAACATGAGGGCCTTTTTAGCAACGTAACACGGTACGTATCCCTTCGTTTCCTCGGGATACCTATGCAAAAAGCGTTCTGTGCACCACCCCGGCACCACCTAACACGGAAGATAATTTCCTACATTAAACTCGATTAATTCCTTCGTCTCCTCGAGAGTCCTATCCGACAAGTTTTGTGTTGGACGGAGACCGACACCACGGGTAAGATATGAAAAGAGGTGCACTACGTGCTACTTGGGGAACCGATACCCATATACACTATATATACGTACCAAAAATTTATCTATACCACAGATTCACTAATCTTGTGAATATCATGGGACAGGACGGGAGTGTGTAAACGCATGTCCCTTCGATGCTACAACAAATTCAACTATTCTACGGATATAGAACACGAGGTTTTAGCCATATATCTCTCTTCAAGCCGTTTTCTATAAGTATAGGTTATTTCTTTTGACTACAAAGTTTTCTCAACATTTCGTTTTGCTTCTAAGCCAGTTTAACTAGCTACGCAAAAGAATGAATAAATCAATAATCAGCCAACTAACTAAATAAGTACCTAACTGAGATAAACAGCAACAAGGTATAGAGTCATGTACTGGACATAATGGGTACCTTTGTTTCGTCGAGGCGATTGTCAGATCGTCGAGCCGGATTTCTCTTCGTCGAGCCGGGTTTCACTTCGTCGGGCCGGGTTTCACTTCGTCGGGCCGGTCTTACATCGTGAATGATGTCATTTCGTCGAGGCGGGTGGCACATCGTCGAGGCAAGATTGATTAACCGTGACAGGTCTAACATCGTCGCGGCGAATGTCACCTCGTCGAGGCATTGAATTGAATTGATGACTTTCATGTAGTCGAGGTGCTTTCCCGGGGGCAGTGGTTTATGGCAAGGGATGGAGAGAGGCGGGGAAGGGGAGGAGAAGTGTCTTGAAATTGTTTTTGATGAGCAGCTTGATGCCTAGCTTGCAACTAAAGTCAAGGGGAATTGACGTTGTAGTTTCAAGTTACATTTACAACACCCGATTTTCAACCTGTTTCGGTAGATAAAGACAGGAGTGGCGGCATGGGGGGGCAAGAGGGGGCTTTAGCCCCCCTAGATTTTTGTTAGCCCCCCCGTCGGCAGCCAATCAATTTTTGCTTTCTCAATACCGTCGGCACTTGATGGATGTCACCCGGTTTACATGTTGTTTGAATGACATAAATAATCGAGGAGAAAACTGCACTGGCTGGTTTATGGTTTTCTCAATGGCTTTTCTTCGGCAATTTTACTATCATAGTGGCATTATATCCTGTCGCTTCTGTGAAAGCTGTGACTTAATTTCATGGTGCTCCTTCGCATGACCCACAATGCCATCGTGCTCCTCTCGGTTGAAATCCCTGTTTCTGCTTGGAATTCATGCGAAACGTGCAGATGCTTGATTTGGATCATGTTTTGGACCGGTTCAAGGAAATCACGCTGTCATAAATAAAGTCTTTAATAAATTTTCTTCTTAAGGGATTCTCTTTTCGTTTCAAGACATTTTTATTGCCAATGAAAACATTTCGATCATGAACACATTTTGCGTAATAAATTTTTTAAAAAGCATTTCTTGTCCTTTTTCATCAACTATTTTTCAACAGCATTGTTCACCGCATAGCTTGCGACAAACAAATGGTTTAGAGAAAACCATCGATTAACTTCTTCCAACATAGATAGGAAGAAATATTCAACAATAGGCAATATTTGCGAATTAAGTTTCTTACAAGGCACAAATTGCCGAGAAAATCTCGTGGACTCCGACACAGGTTGGAAAGTGGGGGCGGGGAGGGGGCAAGGGAGAATTTTGCACCCACAACAAACCATTTTGGAAAAATGCTCTATTGCTTGCTCTATATGCTTGCTTGCTCTTGGAAAAATGCTCTATATCGGTGCCCCTTCATTGGAGGTGCTGCTCAGGGGTGTCGCGACTGGGGGATTGTCACATCCACCCCAATAGTATCTCAATAGGAAATTTCAGGTAAAATCCGCTCGGTGGAAGAAACGCTTTAAGTATTTCAGAGACCTTCCTGTCATAAAATCAATAAAGGATCAAGCAATCTTAGGTAAAATTGTGCCTCGTGTCCATTTCTCCTAAAGTTTCTCAGTAGAAGCGTCAACTGCAATTCACTATGAGCTCCAGATTTTTCTTAACATTCATAAGGCATGCTAAGATGGAGAGAGGGATCTAAATTTAAAAGTAATTGACAACCTGGTATTTTTCAAGACCACGGCGAAATTGTTGTTTTTATCTGCTGTAAAAAAGTTTTGCAAAAAGACAATAATTTTCAATAGGATTAGGAGGATTGCTTTAGTGAAATCTGCTTAAAAGAGTGCATTTTCCAGGGAACTAGAAGCATCACAATTCGAAAATTTCCTGCCCCTTTAGCGGCAACCATGGTGCCGCCTCAGGTAGTAACTATATATTTTGCCCGTCCCGATATAGAGATTTCAAATTCAAATTCAAATTCAAATTCATTGGCATTCAGCAACTAATTACAGGGTACTTAAATTAATTATTATAGTAGTTAATACAGAATATATGACATCTATTTTAGCTAATAACAAATAAGTTGCCTAGGACGCTGGGAGGAACCGAAACGGTTTTCGAGCCTAGCGCCCTAAGTTGGTAATAGTTAATCATGCAGTATAACAGTAACAATGGAACAAGTAAAAGTTAATTACAAGTAGAAACTAATTACTAATAATTTTGATTTGAATTTAACATATAACAGAAGAAGAATAAAAACATATTAAGATTAAGATACAGATATTAAGAAAAAAAGAACAAAATACAAAGGGGCAAGAGGAGAGAACAAGGATATAAACGAAGGGGGGGGGTGACACGAGAGTTCTGTTCGTTTTCAGTTTAGAAATCGAAGAATGAGATATTCGGGTTGGTTTAAAGTAAGTGCATTTGGGTTTTATAAATATTTTTGCAGAAGCCAATTTCGGAGATGTTTTTGGAAGAGTCTTTTGACTGGTTTAGAGCGAATATTAAGTGGGATTTCGTTCCAGATTTCGTTCCAGATTTTAACTCCATTGAACGTAATGAATCTCTTTTTAAGGTTAGTTCTTGCTTTGGGGATAGCAAAATTTTGTTTTGCAGCTTGCCGTGTATCATAGCTATGTCTTGATGTTGTTTTTTGGAAGAGCTGACAAAGAAAATCCATTTGCGTGCCTGTGTTTACGTCATACATAAACTTTGCACATTGCAGGGTGTAACTATCATTGAGGTTTAATATATCAAATTTATGGTAAATTGGTTTGGAGCTTGCTGTGTTTTTAGCAAAGTTCATTATTCGTAGAGCTTTGTTTAGAGTTCGGCCCATAGGTTTTAGGGAGGACAGATTTGCACTCCCCCAGTTAATTAAAGCATAGTTGACGCGAGGCTCGATAAAAGAAAAGTATAAGTTCCTTAAGATTTGTGGAGGAACATAATGCCTAGCCTTAGCTAGTATTCCAATGCCTTTAGAAATTTTTAGATTTACCTGTTGAATGTGTTGTTTCCAGCTAATGTCCTTATCTAAGAGTACACCAAGGTATTTTATACAATCGTTTTGAGCAATTGATTTGTTATTAATTGCTAATTTTATTTCATTTGTTTTATTTTTTATCGAGGGAGAGATTATGAGGAAGTTTGATTTATCAACATTTAAGGTCAGTTTATTGGCTACTAACCAGTCTGAAACTTTGCTGAGCTCATCGTTTACGATGAATTCTAATTGACTTAGATTCTTATGCGAGAAGAAGATACTAGTATCATCAGCAAAGAGGTGAAATTTTAGGATGTTTGACGAAAACGGCATATCATTAATATATAGAAGAAAAAGCAAGGGCCCAAGGACACTGCCTTGTGGGACTCCAAATTTTATATTGCAGGATTCTGATAGAGTGCCATTTATGCATACTTTTTGTGATCGGTTTGTTAGGTAAGATTTAAACCAATTTAGGGTTATGCCTCTTACTCCATAATATTCAAGCTTGTAGATTAGTATATTGTGGTCAACAGTATCAAAAGCTTTAGCAAAATCTAGAAAGATACAAGTTGAAAACTGTTTGTTTTCAACAGCATTTACTAACTGTGTACAGACGTCGAGTATGGCAAGAGAGGTTGATTTGTTTTTTTGGAATCCAAACTGGTGATTAAAAATTATTTTATGCATATCAAGGAACTTTATTAGTCTGGCATGCATTAATTTTTCAAATATTTTATTAAAAATAGGAAGTAGGGAGATAGGTCGGTAGTTTGTAACTTCAAGTTGAGACTTTCCCTTGTAAACGGGCACT